GGTGTACGTCTAAAATGAAACAAATAAGACTGTATTAACGTATGCTTGAACATTCGTGCACTAGTCGTTTTTTTCGTATGTCACAGAAAAAATACAGAAAGCATGAATGATAGATACGCATTCCCGGAAAATATAAATGTTGAAAAGTAGTATCAAAAGTAATGTAATGTAATGTACTGTTATGATATGGATAAATTTACCTGTGCCAACGTGTTTATTTCCATGTCTGTTCCTCGAAATGAATCTCCAATAAGCGCATTTATATCAGCCAGCAATGTCATTGCTGCACGACGACCATTCCCAGTATTTTGTGAAGTAGTCTATTATTTAAAATGGAAAACAAAATTGCATGGAACTTTTATAATGACCATTATGAAAATTTCGATCGAAAATTGAAGAAATAATTATGAAAACAAACTTACCTGAGCAACTATTTCGACTACATTCGTTATATCTTGCGCAGTTGCATTTTTTTCAGACAGCTCAGTAATCTATATTCACAAGAGAGAAAAAATAACTGCAATTATTGCATCTGAGAAATGATATACGTAATAAAACCCGTATGTGGTCAAGCCAAAACATGAATACGTTGGGCGGACAAGATTGGGCTTAAAGTCAGCCCTCGTCACACAATGGCGTATATACAAAATCTATATAGGACATTATTCAGTACTTATTGATAAATAGTAATTAAAAAAGCGTATTATGCCATTGAGTCCAAGCATATCATTTTGCAGTGACTCCAGTTATGACATTTAGCATTGAATTCCATTTTTAATAGTCACTGTACGCGTAAGCTAACCGACAGCATAGTAACGCAGATTTGTAAAACTACGCAATGGTGATAAGACCCAATAATGAATGTCTTTGAAAATATTTTTTTTTTAAATTATTAATTCCGTATAATTATAATAAGTTGTGTTAAGATTCAATAGAGAATTCAGCTAGAATATTGGATATAACTGATTATTATTTTTATCTCGTTTTTGTTTTTTTGTTTTTTTTGTAGTTGAGATGAAGTCCATTTAGGACGACGAACTCCACAATCAGACGATGAACTCATAACATACGGTGATAATTTTTATTTGAATACAATGACACATTCATGGAAATTATCTTACCATATTCCTTGCAAGTGATATGCTGTCATTGGATACCGTTCCCGTTGCTATTATGTTAACTGTTAAAAAAATATCTGTAGTTACAGGTTGAATCGTACTTGTTATTGATTGAATTGTAGGGCGTGCCGTTGTTGCTGTTGGTGATGCTATTGCATATGGTTCATCGGTTGTTACGTGTGAGATGCCCCCTGTTGTGCGAACATTGGTGGTGCTTTCGGATGGCGTGTCTGTGGTGCTATACATTGACGTGGAAATATCACTAACAGAGTCTAAAATCAATGAAATATATAAAATAGTCCTAACATTTGCCATAAAGGTGCGATAGCAAGTGATAACACACTCTGGATATGCAATCAACAGGAGAATCGGCATCAATGGATACAATTGGGTAATCACTGATAATGTATAAATCTGACATTAACCTTCTAATAATCGAACTCTTATGATGACTTACCTTGCCCATATACACACAGTGGTCTGTTGTCATCTGTGTCGCAATCTTTAAATTTCCATGTAAAGTGATTGCCCGAGCGTGCAATGATTATACAGTTCATTGAGCTGGTGCCAAGATTGTCCAGAAATACTGATGCAGACGAGTCGGAAAGATAGCTCCACGTACCGCTGCCGTCTATACTATTTTGTCCAATCCAGTATCCTTTGTTATTGTCCGGGCTAGCGTTGCATAAGAGAAAACGGAAATCCGACGGTAAGATTGTGCAAGTAAATAAATCAGTGCGTGGCTCAATATAAGTGAAATAACGTTCAATTAATTTACCGAAGTGTGCACAAATGAGAGATTTTATTTTATTTAAAAATTGCTATTCTATCTAAAGGTGGTACATTTCCACACAGTGGGTACAAAAGAAACCGGAAATTTTACTTTTATGGAATAAGTCGTTACATATTTAAACGCGCATATACAAACTATTTGTTTACAAGAAATTTGAACGCGCTACCTCTGTAGCGCTTTATGGTATTTAGAAGCATTACTATGTCTCCGTCTAATGCCGTAAACTCCGTGTGATACGCCGCTGAAATGTGTCTCGTTTAGCGTCCGGAGGGGGGTTCACAATTCTAGCATTCGTCAATAAAACAATATAATCTTCCTAAATCGATATAAAAAAGCGTCGTTTTGACACATCAATAGATTGAATTACAGTCGCCAATTATTAGTCTACAGCCTATACACCAAACATGCAACTTTCCGTCCATAATATACAATATAACAATGAGATTTTACTATTGACTACATTAATTGCGACCAACCTTTGAAATGTGTCGATAGCTTCAAGAATGAATGTGTTTTGCGATTCCTCTTTGACATCGACAAGATCGCCACCTTGTGTCAAACAGAAATCCCTTGCAGCTTGCCAGGATGACACTCCATCTTCGGAAATTTGATAGCACAGGCCGCTATCAGGGTCTTCGGTTCCATCCACCGCACAGTTGAAATCTTTAGTAAAAAACATAATAAGTGACGTAGACCTTAGGGAAAATGGCCGCCGGAATCTCGAAATAGTCACGAGACTCTTTTTTGTTTTGTTCTTCTTTCATTTTTCCCCCTCATCATGTAACTGTTGCAAATACCACGTTATTATAATAGATCAATGAAAAAGAAACGTGATGACAACACTATTTAGAAGGTAAAAATGAGTGTTGTAGTTCTCTCGCTTTACACGAGATCTCGGCGGCCATTTACGTCAATTCGATTCATTGAAGTAATAACGACTCCATTATAAAATACAAGTTGAGAGATCCCTTGTTGTAGGTTTACTACTAACGCGCGTCGTGACAGAATGAGATGGCGATTATATAACTAGTGGTTTGCTAAATCCGCAGAAATATCCCATATTGTCCGCATGAATACTAATATTTCACATTGTATTTTGTTCTAAATTTATTATTGTATATACATTCCGTACTCCCGTAAAAGCAATGTTAATTCTAATAATACAAATATATGTGGTACAACAATGAAGTTGGTGTCGTAGTACATCTGGCTACATTTGCATACGCACGAAGACCGGGAGTGTTTGAACGCCGGTCTATGACATTAGATATCTCCGATTACGTAGTTGTTGACGGATGCGGCGGTATGGTGATCGCTTGGTTCCAATTTTACGTGATCGTAACTCATTTATTCTTATATTAATTGTCTCGCATTTATTTAATTGTCAGGAATACGCAATTGACATAGTCATCAATATTCAATAAAGTTTCGTATGCATATGCAGGTATTCTTAAAGCGTAAATTCCAATTAGATAGTCATTGAGGTCATGCAACTCTTCATTTGTTAAGGCTTAGAGCGAGTTCTAATTCGATTTATAAACCCAAGGTGTACACCTGTTCCAAACGCAAGGTACTTGAGAGGAATATTCTGTTTTGTTTTATTTATATATGGAAATGTGACATCATATATACATTGCTTATTTCATTACAGGCCCCTGCATTCAATTTATGGCTCTTCGTAATGTATACATCCAAGGACGACGATGTAGTGATGTAACAGCTAGTGTATCGGCGATGGTTCTATATAAATACGTACTCTGAATGTGTTGTTCTGCACAATGTGCATTATTGTGTATTGTAGTAATAAAATGGGATGATTCATTTTATTTTGATCGATCATTGAATTCGCAATATGTTACCAACAGTAAATATTAATGTTTAAAAAGGAACATACGGGAAACAAATGCTGGGTTAGATTTATTCTAGAAGCTATCGAGTCAAATAATAGGCAGTCACAATACGGTCATCTCAAAAAAAGAAAGTATAATATTTGAAGGCTTGCTTCAAGGATGGGTATGTTGTCACGTCAACGCTTGGCTTGATCCCTGTGTAACGCAGTCGCCGTGAGCGAGTATATGTGACATATGATAACATACGCGTGAGTGGTTCTGTATTCGTATATGATGGATGAATCAGTGCCAAACTCTGTTATCATAAAGGTCTTTATGGAGGGTGACGCATGCGATTATACACCTTGAATAGCCCGTGCAGTCGATGCTGAACGACTTCCCGTCAACAACCTGAATGCGATACTTTCTACTCCACTAAGCCGATACGGGGTCCTGAGTTAAACGTAGGAGTATAAACGGGATCTTAAAAAACGTAATAGAAAATATATTTTCCCCGAAATAGTTTGAACGGTTTTAGAAAACACGGAACTATACACTACTGCAGAAACTGTGGCGGTCACAAAGGAAGGTGTTTCGAATGTCATTACACTAGCTTTGTACAAAACCGTCGGATTAACATTGGCCGGATACTTAGGTGATTTTATTCTAAAAGGAGTTCAACGTATACATGAAAACGTCATTTCAAAATCCGGCTTAAGAAAAATAGGTTTAAATCACTTTCCAATGTTATTTGTGCAGATAAATTAATGTTACATTTCCAGTTTGGATATGCGGGATACTCGTCACTGGAGTAATATTACTATGATTAAATAGACAATAAGTAGATTTAATAATACATTTTGAAATATCAGAGAATTAAAACATAAAAAGGTAGTAGTTTTAATCACAAAATCAAACATTGCCATTGCTGTAATCATTCAACGCCATTTGCATTATGTGCGGTGCATGTCTTATTTTTATCACGGTGCTTCTAAATTTGATGATTTCACGTGCCAGTGGGGTGGGTGCAGATCAAACACAAGTAAGTACTGCAAATTGTATGTTGTATGCAAAGTTCCTGAATGCTTAAAGTTCGTAATAATAATTTTGGAGATTAACATTCTCCATCACTACATTTTGTTAAGCTTTCGACGCAATTAGGTGTGAATCCGGTGTTATCATGATTAAATATCCCCCAAAACATTTAAGGCTTTAAAAAAGGCTTTAGCTCATTTATCGTGTCTTTGGCGTATTTTGAAGTGTCCAATGTCATTTTATTCAATTGTGTCAATATATCTCCTACTGTGTCACCAGGAAAATAACCGAACGATCATTTCCACTACCACCTGTGCCCGTGAATTTGTTGTTTGAAATGTTTCGTTTCCTTTCAGATTATCGAATGCGATTTTATAAACTATCCCTAAGATAGGTATTTGATAACAAACAGTTCTTGTTCAACCATGACAGACACTAAACCACCACATCCGTGGATTATAATAGCTACATGCCTTCGTTGGAGCAATTCGAATAAGACTCAGCAGTCAAGGACATGTTAAAGCCGGATAATTGAGAATTTGTCATGTGGTACGAGCGAAGCATTCTAACTTATAAAAGGAGAAACAAATGCTAGAGAAAATAAGACAATAGCAAAGAATCAAACAGGATATTGTCAATTCAAGTGAACGATGATCGATTAATTAATTTAGTTAATGAACATGAAGTTATCAATGGAGACGTACAGGATCAAATATATGACGTCATTTAGAACTATTAAGCATTTTCGTGTTTCAAACGTTAGTAAAACTGAAGTTCACATATAGCATTATATTGTAGCACCGATCCCAATGGAAGGCTATGAAGCCGTCACAAGTTCATTCTGAAACGCACTAGCTCACTATTCCTCGTGTCATTCATACATGGTGGGTCCATCACCGTACGTTTTCCTGGGACACTAGATAGCAACTGTTTTCTTGTGAGGACCACACGCGCAAAACGGTCAGTACTCAAATCCAAGACATTACGTTTTAAGCGTAGTTGTTTACGCATAACAACGACAGAGATAATAGTAATAGTTTGGTTCACAACTCTGACTGTCAATTCGAAAAGAAAATTATATATTAATTGAATAATTTACTCATAAAAATCATGAATCGAAGATACTATGTTGCCCCACCCCAAATAGGTCATGTGATTGTATTTATATGAACATACAGCAACAATGTCAATTTCCTGACAGGGAATTCCCATTAATCACGCAGTCTTGTAGACATTATCTTGTAATCGACGTAAATAGCTTAAATCGGATTGGCATGTGCATGCTAAAATACAAATAGGCAAAGTGTGTGTGCTCGTATATTAGAAAATGACCTTACCTGCACAAATTGGAGTAATTGTCAAGATGAACACCTGCGACAAAAAAAGATAAAAAAACAACAACACATTTTAGATTTCGTGTCCGATAAAATGAGTTGTAATATGTGTTTTTTGTCATACAACCTGATCTGATTAGCCTAGTGCCTAAATTTAACAACAATAACTACAAAAAACATGGTATTTCACCTTGAATCCATTTTATATAGACAATATGCAAATTTGTCGGATGTGAGACAGGGACGGTCAGCGATGCCTTGAATATTTTATGGTGTACGAGGCCACTCTTGTCTACGTGATCCGCGTGCATATATATGAGCTGTATTCAATGAAACTACGCCGAATGACAGAAAGTTTGGCTCTCATATGTCCCTTTAAACTATATATACATTTACTTAACAATAAAATAAATAGTACAACTTGCTATATTTGCTTGGCCGCCATGTGATGACATTGATGTCAATGTGATCATGGTTGATGTATAGAGCTACATTGTGTAAATTGTTATGCAAGCATTTTTTTCTCCACGAACTGCACCCAATTTATTATAGGGCATATATCCCGGTACAATGTGAATAGAGACCATCGAGCAAGAGTAGATATTGTTGTTCATGTGTTAACGTAGAACGATATTCAAAAGTAAAAATAATGCTATTTCGTTTTAATTCGTACGTATGTGATATTCCATGCTACATAAATCATTAAAATGAAATAACAAATATGGGATCGTCACACTCAAAATAGGTGAAATATCATATTTTTATCGAGATTCAACATTGTTTTTCTATGACAAGGATATAATATCTCATTATCTCATTATCATTATCTCAAAGTTTTCTCTCGGAAACATAGAATGAAAAAGGTAAATTGTTAAATTGCCGCTAAATTGTCATTTTATGCATATTATTTATTTGTTTGTTTTTTTCTCAAGAATGACAGTGAATTAAAAAAGTTAATATACTGTTAGACACAAAATTTTGTCATCGGTGTATGCGTTATTACATGCGCACGTTTGACAAACGGGCGAAAAAAGACCTTTCAACCTTAGTATATGAGCAATCATTCTTATAAATAGTTCTTCTTTTAATAGCAAAGAAAGGTGGTCCGGCTATGTTCTCGAAGGGACGCTACATTTTGTTATAACCAGCATGAACAAAAAATGAGAACAAACATATCCAATACTGAAATGTAGCATGATCAGTAGACTAGTGCGTTGTCGTTAATTGCCGTTGTTTATGCAAATCAAACCATTGCTTTTCTCGCTTTTAACAGGTTAGTAATTTATGATGTATATTCGCATTCAGCTGGATAAACTATAAATAAAATATGCCCTGTCTAAAGATACTGATCGTGGAAGGGTGAGGTTTGATAATCGTGATGTTCGCCAACTGCTCTCATAGTACTATTTGTCACCTATATCGCCATTATGTCTGTAGCTCCGCGCATCGGTAACACTTGCGTTACCATTGTGGTGTCCGCG